AGATACCTAGGGACAACAGTATACATACTGATTTTGATATGCAATAAGGCTTTGGAACTTTATGGAATTTATTAGGAAAATGCTCCCAGGGGATCAAATGTTCTTAGCAGTGCCATGACAGAGCACCAGTAATGGCAGTAGATGCTCAGGCACAATGAATGCTGGAAGAGGCACCCAGAGTGTGGACACACTCTTGAACACAAGAAATACCTACAGATTACCAGAAATAATTGGGGAGGAAGAATGAGGGAGCATGAGCTGGGGAAATATAAGAATGAATGAACCTGTGATTGATTGGTCTCTTTCATACCAATAGCTTGTGCCTACACTATGTACCTGGTAGTATGCTAGGCACTAGATAAAAAGACTTGCTTGCAGTAACCAAGAATTTCACAAGTTCCTTATGGGGTAAATGTGCCAAAGTAAACAATGACAGAAACTCCTGGAACATTTTAATGTTTCAGTTTCTTAGAGTTGTGTTTTTTTTTTTTACATTAGAGTTTGAAAAAGTTCATGAAACTTTGTTCAGTCAGTCTGATCCAATTTCCCTTACCTATTTTAGAAGAAAACTTTCGAGGCCCACAGAGGTATGTGAATTTTCAAAAATCACACTGGTGACCAAAAGCATAGCAAGGACAGGCCAAATCTCCTGAGGCTCAGAATCATTCCTTCCCACTATCCCACAATACCTCATTTATAATTCATTAAATGGATGACTCTATTCTGATTTCTTCATTCACGGATACATGTTAAAAACAGTATAGTGAAAAAAACATGGCTTCTGAATTAGACCAACCTGGGGTCTGAATTTTTTGACAAATTACACTGCTTTGCTTAGCATTAAGGCTGGTCCTAATAAAACAGTTAGATGTTCTAGAAGAAATTATAATGAACCTATGCTCCTCACCAAAGATTGGCACCTGAGTTTGTTCCTGCTTAGGCTTTATGCTCCTTTCCAAGGATTCTGTAACAGATTATATGAATACTACTCAGCAAAGCTAACAGAAGAGAAGATTTAAAAATGGTAGTATTAATTCTAGTCAACAACTGATCACAAAATAGCCATGGCAATTAAGCTTTAGGGTTTATTTCGCCCTGTAAGGGTAATAACTCACCTACTAAATTAAGGGGGTAACACATAATCAAGGAAATCCACTTTAAAAGTATAAATTTTTTCATGAGCTCTAACAGAGCCCTCAAATATCAGTATCTATTTACAACATTTTCCACATCTCTCCTAAATAATTTTGATAAACCCATTTCTCAAAAAGTGCCTTAAAGACAGTATTGTCTAAACTAAAAGCAAAGGGATCCATTTTTCAGTTATAGTACTTTTGAAGTTGTACACAAATATTCTACTAGTTAGGCTGAAGGGAAAAAAATGTGCTAGTAGCACTTTTTTCAGCCCTAAAATTCGGTCTGTATTTATGTTTTAAAAATGCTGAATCATGAAATAAAGGAAACAGTGCAAAGAATCCAAACACGTAGTTCACCTCATACCTCAAGTTTCCTAATTATGGCATCTTTTCATTTTGGAACCAAGTAACTGAAAAGTCTAAGTAACTAGAGGAGTAGAGCTCATTCTCAGAAACTGAACTTGAAGATAAAACTAAAAGTAGTTATTTCTGCGAGTTATTATACTTTCAACTTCCTGTTTTATTTAGGCAGCTCATCATGACCATTGCAGGTAACAATGCAGAAGTTAAAAAACCCAACTTCCTCTTTATAAAGTGATAAAAACTTCAGCAGTGGGCTTCCCTGGTGGCGCAGTGGTTGGGAGTCCGCCTGCCGATGCAGGGGACACGGGTTCGTGCCCCGGTCCGGGAAGATCCCACATGCCGCGGAGCGGATAGGCCCGTGAGCCGCGGCCGCTGAGCCTGCGCGTCCAGAGCCTGTGCTCCGCAACGGGAGGGGCCACAGCGGTGAGAGGCCCGCGTACCGCAAAAACAAAAAACAAAAAAACTTCAGCAGTTAGTTATGAGAATGGTTGATCTTACTAGCTTTTATAGAAATACTTGCAAGGAAATCAGAGACCATCACCACCAAATTCACCTCTGGGTTCACTGCTTTCAGAAAATGTAACAAAGATAAAAAGCAGTATTAAAATATATTTGGCATGATACACGTGTTAAAAAAAATCAAATCAAATGCAGTTGAGGTCTTAGTTAAAATTTTTAAAAAATGAAAACTTCACGGTTCCTTCGAGGAAGAGTCAATATACAAACTAAGCCTGAAAATATCTTGTTTGTAATAGTGCCTTGGTTATGAAAGTTTTGTACAACAAGAATCTCGCTTAAGGGTCACTTATTGTTTATGAATGCTAAGACATTCATATCAACAAGTCTTTTTGGAAAAATACTTTTTCAATTCTTGAATTCAGTTAAAAGGCACCAGAAGCCTGGAGGAAAAGGGGTCAAGGTAGGTATAAAACTGAAGGAGAATTTAAGTAACCTTACAAGTCAAAGCCCTTTCTTTTTACTTATTGATCCACAACAGAGAAATACAGATCACTTCATCTCTGGGAATAAAAATCTAACAAAATTTCAGTAATCCCAAATCATATGGATTTATTATATGAGATTTTTTATATCAGCTATTCTTAATTATCTACACTAATGAAAACAATGTAGTTAATCTAAAATCTGTTCACTGAATATAAAATTCATCAACATTTTTTGGCAGTAGATTTACCTTACTAATTATGATTTGCTTGCTTTGTCATTATTAAAATTAAACAGCAAAAGAAGTATGCTGGGATATAAGAGAAAACTGGTCAGAGATCTGCTATTACAAAATCAAGGCTGTTAATGTTACTAATTTGAACACTGTCAATATCCAAAGACATCTTTACACTTTGAAATACATATTTTCCCCCCAAGTTTAACTAGAAAGGCATTCTAACCCTGTGTCAAAAACAAAAACCCAACACTGGTGAACTTCAGTTTATTACCTTAAATTCTTAGTGAAATTTTGCTGTAACAGTATTTTTGCTTAAAGTAAGAGGACCATCAGTTGGGCTAACAAATGTTTTGTCATCCCATGATTTTCACTGTAACTTAACTTCATGTGAATCATAACTGTTTGCCTTAGAATAAACATTTTATTATAGCTTTCTCTCTAGCATAAGTTCATATACAGTGTAAAATGCCCTTCCCCCCCTAAATCTTATACATTTATGAGAATCAATTTCCAAGTATGAGAAAATCTAATGCTGAAGTGTTGTTCAACGGCATGTGAATATTTAGCACATTCTTCAGCGTTTCAAAATGGCATGGCATGTGTATATCAAATTATTCTGTACAGAGGACTCTTGGATCATAAACAGTCCCCTTTGCCATCCCAATCTCTTTTATTAAAAGAGGAAAACCCCAGATACATTTACAGAGTATTCAAGGGTGTACATTTTGTAAAAACCACTGTGGAAAACAAAAGACATAATTCTTGTCCTTTTACGAGTTATGTAATGAACCATTGTAATTTCCATGGACTCTAAAATCTTTAACATATTTACTGAAAAGCCTGACAAACTGTTAAGAAAGGTGTGCAGTTGTCAGGAAAAAAGTTATTCCACCTAAGGTGAAATATTCTATTGTATTTAAGACACTTTTAAAGAAATTAAGTGTACAAATTACTCAGTGTCAAGTTCAACTATAATCAAAAAGATACCACACTGGAGCACCAAAGAAGGCAGGATGCTTTGTCCAGACTTGAATGTGTTAACATGAAGTTTATGTGCTACATAAAACCTTTCTGGAGTTAAAAAGAAAAAATCATTGGCTAGCCTTGTTAACAAGAAATGGAAAACTATTTTTCAAAAATTATCGTTAAAAGATTGTAAGATGGAAGGGATGGAGTCACCGCGGGCACCGTATACATACAATCAAGGGAGTGTCTACAGAGAAAAGAGTGGTGTTCAAATCCTGAAGCAAATGTCCCTGAGGCTTACACATTTATTACTGTGAGTTAGTTCAGCCGACAGCATGTGGGAAAAGAGGTGTGTGTGGATAGGCGGCCAACACCTTAGAGACCTCTCCCTGTCGAGAAGTCGTGACAGCAAAATCACTTCCTGAGGAAGGAGGAGCAAAAGGGAAGTTAAGAGGCCACCCTGACCAGGAAGTGACTCGCCCTAAACTAGCCCCAATCATAGCTAAAGATGGGGGGATGGGGTGAACCCCAGCAGCTAAAGGCGGTAAAATAACTGCTTCTTGATACGTCGCGACATCTTCATCGCCCCCTCTCTTAAATACAAAAAAGAGTCCACAGTCACGATTCAATAAGGTAGTCTCTTCCCTCGCAGGAAGGCCACTGGGCTGTGCGTCAGGCCCGGGGGGAAAAGAGAGTTGAGGAATGGGGAACTGGGGCCACCGTGAGGCAGAGGAAAGCCCCTCAAGAGGGAAGCATCCCGACTGCGGAGAGCGTATGCCAGCAAAGGCCAAGAAGCTTCTTTCTTCTGGGGGTACTGCCGGGGTTCCCACCGCAGCCGGGTCGGGGCCCCGTTCCCTGTCCCGGGAAGAGGTAAGAGAGAGAGGCGGACCCCTTACCTTCTCCTCATCCGACACCCGATCCTCGAAGTCGGCCATCTTGGGCTGCTCTGGCCCAGCCCGGCCCTGGCGCGAGGCAGGCCGGGAAGGAGGCCGAATGATGGAATCACAGCGAGGGCCGTCTGAAGGATCCGCCCGGAAACGCCGACCGCTAGGGCGCCATGTCAGTTACGGGCGTGGGTGATGGGCCCAGGCGCCGACGCCCCAGTAAGTCGGCGTGACTTAAATGATTTTAAGTCTAATATTTTTCTCACTGAGTTACATTAACTTCCCCATTCATCTATGGGACGTTGGGAGCGTGCTTCGGCTGGTATTGGCGCCCGAGCTCCGGCCGACCAAATTGCAGTCGCTACTCCTGTAGATTTTCCCAGTACCAGTGCTCTCCATGGCAGCCGAGTCCAAAGGGCTAAGTGCTGCTCCGACTCTGGAACGGTCGGTGGCTTTTTCAACCCCAGGAATGGGGTGGAAGGTGACCCTCACGCGTATGGAGGCTAAAACACTTCACTCCGGGTCACATCTTGGCCCAGTTCCTCCAGAATAGGTGCCGCTATCCGCCCCTTCCCTCTCTCGGAAGGAATAGGTAGCCCCAGCCCTGGGGCGCTCTTCCACCTTCCAAATCTTCTCGGTCCCCGTTCCCTGGGACTCTCAGCCTTCACAGAGGCCAACTTCAGGTCCGCCACTATCCCAGGATTCCCGACTCCCGGTTTCCTGCCCTTCTCCCCTCCCAACTCCAGGCGCCACCGGGGGCGGCAAGATGGCGGACGGTGACGGCTTAGGTGAAGCAGCGACTGCTATGGCGTCTCCTCCTGCCCCTGCTCCCGGCCTGAGCCCGCCGCTGGGCTGGAGGGAGCGGCTGCGGGCCGGGCTGGCGGGCACTGGGGCCTCGCTTTGGTTCGTGGTGGGGCTGGGGCTGCTTTACGCTCTGAGGGTCCCGCTGAGGCTGTGTGAGAATTTGGCAGCGGGTGAGAGGCCCAGAGCTCCCGAGGGACGGGCGGGCGTGGGGGATTGGGGGGCAGGAGAGGTGCCGGGGGCAAGGGCCAAAGGGCAGAGATTTTCAGTATCACTGGAGGGCTTCGCAGAATGAGTCGGTGTGTGTGACCGAGTGGGTTCTTTTTCTCTTGGGCCGCTACTCCGCAGCTGATTGCCAAACCCGAGCTGCAACTACCGGCTCCTCCCTAAAGCTCTTAAGGTCCGCCCTCTCTCTTCTGTCCTCGTTTACCCGAGGAGAAGCTACCTGATAAAATGTAATCTTCAGGTGGTAGGGCAGATGAGAGCATTTTCAGACTTGAATGCAGAATTTATACACACCTTTTGATTCTCTCGCCACTCAGCTGAGAGAACCCACACCCAGACAATAAAAATCTGAAAGAAACTAACACGATCTTAGCCAGCCATTCTCATGTTTTAAAATAGTTTTGTCAGGAAATAGTTTTCGTGATATTTTTGTCCGTTCTCTGTTTTAGGCTTTATCTTGAGTAATAAAACAGAACAGTACAGGAAGTAAAGAGAAAGAGAGCCACAAACAGCAGTGGGTTCTTTCCTTAGTTCTTTCTTTCAACATTTGTAGAGAGCTTGCTGTGTAGTGTGGGCTGAAGTTACAAAGACGTATAAGAGGTGATGATTTCCTTGGATTCTTCAAATATTATTCTTTAGCTGTAGCCAGGACAGAGTGGATGGGAGCCAGGGCCTCTTACCCTGTCATTACAAATTGGCAACCTCAGATTAAAATGGAAGTATTTCTGTTATGGGATCTTTATGACTGTCAGTACTGTGTTTTATTTTTCTGTAACAAGAGAAGGCAAATGTCCCCTTTTCTATTCTGTGAAATGACATGAAAGACTGTGAGATAATGTTCTGAAATGTTTTGGACTTTTTAAGAACCTAGTACGTAAATTCAGATGCAACTAACACACTAAAATAACCTAGATAAATTGGCCTTCCTAGACTGTTTGAAAAGCTAATTTGGTGTTTCTGTTACAGGTTAATGAAGTGACTACTAATGGTTTGTATGCTCAGTGAAATGTTATTCATTGAGTTTATCATTTTTTTTTTTACATATTAACTAGATACACCATTTAGATGAGAGTCAGTGACTTTACAGATTTTTATTTCTTTCTAAAACCCAAAGTATTTATGAGACAATTATTTGAAGTGAAGAATGTGGTCCAGGTTTTCAGTGAATCAGGTTTAGGGAGCTCTTAGTTTGCTATTCTTTTTGGGTTATTTTGCCTCTGTAGCTGACATACCAAATACACACACTGTTTCCGTCCCTCTAATTTGAAACACTGTTTTATATCTCACCAAAATAATTAGGAAGTAGTTTTAATCCTCCTTTGTAACAGTATATTTGTTCATATTATCCTTATGGAATTGCAAAAGTTCTTGTCTAAATTATGATATTCCTGGTTTTATTCTCAACAGCAAGCTAAATGATCTCATTTTGATTTGCTTATTTAACAAATCAGCAGTGTAAAATCCTGCCCTTACATATGTGAAGGCATTTTAAAGATGTGATACAATGAGAATTTAAAGTAGCTTTTTAAAAATTACAACTTTCTCAAATGAATCTCATACTAGATATTAATACTACTTACGTCCCTCCACTCATAAAGACACCTGCATATTTGTAACTTGGGTACTTATTTTTTTTAACTTTGATTTTTTAATTCTTTTCGGCAGTGACAGTATTTTTAAATTCATTGACGCCCAAATTCTATGTGGCACTTACAGGGACATCTTCTTTGATATCAGGACTAATATTTGTAAGTAGTTTCCATTTCCTTCCTTCCATTTTCTTTGGTGTTTATCTAAAAATCAAATCTCTTTAAATAGTTATTATAATAATTAAAAATACTTATAGATCAGCATTCTCAAAATTTTTCACATTCTCAGAATGTGAAAAAATATTTTAAAAACTGCAACTTCCTCTCCACTTTTAGAGATTGATAGTATTCATTTGCGTATAAAAGACTATTTATTGTATGTTGGGGGGCTGTAGTGGGAGGTGGGTTGTGATCTAAATGCTTGCAGGCTCGGCTTAGTAACAAAAATGAGTAAAATTGGCAGAGTGTAAAAATTGAAATTTTTACTTACTTTGAAGACTGGGTAATCTGGACAGTACATGCTCCTTCTAGAAAAGTCTAAAGCTAATTGTTGCCGTGTAGACTTGCAGACCAGTATTACCAGGACCAGGTCTTCCAATTTTTTCAGACGATTTCAAGAGAACCTGGATATAAAGTTTTTATATAAAATCTTCCAATACTTTAATGTTGGCAACATCGGCCAGACTAAAAATTTATCTGTCTTGAATTAGGCTTATAGGCTGCCAGTTACCTTCTCTAGAGTGTTTAAGAGCAGAGTGTGTGAGACAGGCTAACCATCACTTTAGTTGTATGACTTCAAGAAAGTGAATTAACTTTTCTAAAGCTCCAATTTCCTCATCTGTACACTGGAGATAATAATAGTATCAACTTGGAAATTCCTTGGTGGTCTAGTGGTTTGGGACTCAACTCAATTAATTTTTTAAAAAATTAATTAATTAGGGCTTCCCTGCTGGCACAGTGGTTGAGAGTCCGCCTGCC